AAGACTGATTTCTAGTTGGTTTTTATTTATTCCTTTTGGCTCTTCTATCTGTCTTTCTTTTACTTCTTTATTTCTATAATTCATTTTGTGATTTTCTTTCACTCCATTGTTTTTTCATTGAGAGATGATATAGTATCATTTCTTTTTCATTATCTTTAACTCCATCGTTTTTTCTCATTAGAGGATGATATATGATATCATTTTTCCCTCCACCATCCTTCTCTCCATCGCTTTTTCAACGTAGTATCATTTATTCATTCACTCCCTCTACCGCTTTTTTATTAAGAGTTGATATGAAATGATATCATGTCGTGTAATAATCATCGTAAGGTAATGATACAAATGATACAAATCACTTACTCACTGAACCGTGCAGATACGAGAATAGCTGGTACGGTCAAGTGGTTTAATTTCAAGAACGGATACGGATTTATAACGAGGTAGCTATGCCATGTTCTGCCACTTTCACCAGCGCCATCTTCATCATCGCTATACTGTTTTGTAATCAAAATCACAAAAACCATTATTTCGATTACAATTTTCTAAACCACCATCACCATAACCATAATCATTGTCATTATCACCATCATAATATCATCATCGTCATTATCTTCATCTTCATCATTATTATCATCACCAGAGACGACACCAAAGAGGACATATTTGTCCACCAGACGGCCATAACGAGATGCAACCCTAACAAACTGCTCAGAAGTTTGGGCGACGGTGAAGCTGTCGAGTTTGACCTTGTCGATGGAATCAAAGGTCACGTTATGATGATGTTGATGATGTTGATGATGAGAATGAGTGTGATGATGGTTAAGATAAGGGCAATAATGATTAAGTGTGATTACAGGTTTGAATGATGATAAAGCCCATGACGATGATAATTACGACGATGGTGATGACGAATTTAAACCTCATCACATTCGAGATGATATGAAATGAATTCCTAAAAAACTTTTCATCTACCCAACACAGGAATTGAAGCGGCGAACGTCACAGGACCGAACTGGCAGCCCGTCATCGGAAGCATCCATGCTTCCATCAAGAGGTTCAGCAACAAAATGAGATCTAGGTATATTTTCTGACATTTTCCCCTCTGCTTTTTCGAAAAAAATTTCGTAAAAATTAGTGCAGATCGAAATGATGTTGCTATCAAGATGGTGCAATAATAAAATTAAGCGAGACTGACTATTGAATTGAAGTTGAAATTTTTTAACGAATTGAGAATAAATATTTTAATTTTTTGTTTGCTCGCAAGACTGCAGTCGGCAGGGATGTACGGAGACGACAAGCACGGCAATTTCTTCTCCTCCGGACATCTGGTTAATGGATTAAAATTACTAACCTACGTACAAATCATCAAACAACTTAATCAACTTATTTCAATCATTAAATTAAGTGCACATCTACTCGAAAGATTGAATGAATATGTTTAACGTGAACGAACGAGTGAACGAACCTCAACCCACACAGACTGGGCCAGCCGGAGACAAACTGGCCAGCTACCCTCTTTCTGGAAATTCCCTGCCATTTTTCCCAATGGGGCATCACTATCATCACCACGACATGTTGAGCCCAAAAAAGTTCGGAAGTCCCATAAATTATTTTGTCAATCCAAGAACTCAGATGTACGTAAACTCGAACCATTCTCTAAGCGAGCCGAGTTCCAGTTGCCATAGGCTAATGGTGACGTCGAAGTCTAAGCAAGATTTGCTGGTTGGTTGATTGACTGGTTGATTGGTTGGTTGACTGATTGATTGGTTGGTTGACTGATTGATTGGTTGGTTGACTGATTGATTGGTTGGTTGACTAATTGATTGGTTGGTCGACTGATTGATTGGTTGGTTGATTGACAGGTTGGTTGGTCGGTCGGTTGGTTGACTGATTGATTGACATCCAGTTGGGAACTTACTTACGTGAACCAATTTTTAATAATTTCACAAGAACGGGAGAGGATTCGGTGACCATTCGCTGCTTAGAGACAAGACGTCGCATCCCTACTCCTACTGCACATGTCAGGTTGGTGCAACTGGCATCTATTTAAATCAACATTCTTTAGTTTAATTAAATTTTTTTTTATTAAAAACAACAAAATATTAATTTAAAAAAAAATAAAAATTAAACTCCACTCAGGAAGTGAACCACAACCAATCATGTCCACTATTTTTCCCGCCAATCTGCAATAGCTCCTACTACAACCAATCACCGACTGAAGAAGGTGCGGGCGACATCAAGCCAGCCAATCGCGTCGTCCTTTCATGCTTACGTCATCCCTTCTCTGAAAACGCAAACATGAACAACAACAGCAGCAACAACAACGTCAATCTCTACACGACCTACGGCTCTAAGGGGTCATGTGGGGGTAGATACTGCAACAAACCCTGCTGCATGAGACTCGCTCCATACTCGGCCTCTCAGGATCTCTTCCCCAGGGATGCCGATATTTCTGAGGCCGAAATTGTTACACAGTCTTTGGTCGGTTTTAATAATTTTTTTGACATGAATAAATAGATAATATACTGACTGATTACGAAAACTGAAACTAGCAAGCAAGCTGGAAAATAATTTGGTGGAGTAATTTTTTTTTAAATTGGCGGACGTAGGTGGATGAGATGAAGAAGATGATCAGCATGAATCAAGTTAAGAAGGGAGTCTATCTCGATCAAATGAAGCAGATCATTCTGGAAGAAGTTTCGGTCAGTCCAGTCATTGATCGAATGAGTGCACGAGTAAATGGATGAATGAATGAATGAATAAATGAATGAATAAATGAATGAATGAATGAATGAATGCAACATCATCATCACAACCACTTGAACAGCACGAACTGAAGAACGCTTGTGAGAATGCACTGACCAAACACATCCAAAAGGTTCTCCTCAACAAATTGACCTCCGCCACTCGAGATTGCTGCAATGACGTCATCGTCAGCAACAGTAGCGGCAACATCAGCAACCACCACAGCAACAACGCCTTGGACGAGCAACAAAAACAAGATGGCGTCGATGACGTCAATTGTAACGCCCTTGCCGATAACGATGACAACAAATCTGGCAATGATGATAATGATGGTAAGAGGGTCGACGACGCTGATAGTGATGGCAAAAAGTCCGGCGATTGTGACAACAATAGCAGAATTATCATCACTAATGTTGATGGTAGTTGTAAAAAATGCGCCACCGATTACGTGGGACAAATTGATTTAATGAAATCTCAGCTTGTGGCCATCAAAGAATCAAACGTTGAAGAGGACGATGATGCCGCTGAAATTGTAACTACTGCTGCTGCTGCTGCTGCTACTACTACTACTACTACTATTACTCAGGGTGTCGGTGATGAAGCAGAAAAATTGAAAAATGATGAAGGCGTTGACAGGAGTGATGATGATGCGGTGGAAAATATTATCATTGATGATGTAGTTGATGATGTGAATGAGTTTCAGAGGAATGGGGAAGGAGGCAATGGTAGGGAAAAGTTAGAATCTGTTCCTTAAGAGTCTTTGCCGAGTAGTATGATTCAGTAGAATAAAATTAGTTAATCTATTTCTAATTTAGATGATAATTAAGATTGTTAATTCGGATTTTTTTGAAAATCAAACCTAATAAAAAATTATTTTTAATTTATACTTTTGATTGATGATACATTTTAAAAAACGATTAACCCCGAAAAAAATATTGAACAGTTTTAATTGTTCTCGATTTCAATTATATTTTTCATTGCTACTCTTGTTACATTCATTCAAATTATTTTTTTAAATTTCGAGCTAAGTGGAAAATAAAAACAAAAAATTCTAGCACCGGTTTTCCGAGTTCACTAACAATTTTTATCAAAATGAAATAAGTTATAAATAATTTTCTTTCACTATCAAATGTCAAAATGCTAAAAACAAATCTTTGAAACCATTTTAAGCATCCTCATCATCTTCATTCTCATGTTCAACCCGCGCACGAGACATCCTCACATACGTCTGGCGTCTTTGTGAGGAATGATTTGGTCTGGTCTATAGTCAGTCTCACAACATTTCCGTATATTGGAAACCTGCATAGCTTTTCATAAGGGACGATCTCCACCTACAGAAATTTATAAGTTATTATCAGATATAATTAAATAAAATTAAAGTAATAAAAATAATAATCATAAATATAATTTTGAATATAATTACGACAATAATTATAGACGTAATAATAAATATTAATATCCGACAACTCTAACGAACGATAAGGAAGGGGTAATGCTCTTGGAAGTACTTTAACGTTTCGTTCAAGTCCTGTTGGTTATCAATATAAATTAAAAAGTTTGTAAAACTTTCTCTCTTCTTTTTCTTTCTCTCTCTCTCTCTCTTTCTTTCTCTCTCTCTCTCTCTCTCTCTCTCTATATATATATATATATATATATATATATATATATATATATACTATATATTTGTGTATGTGTGTTTGTAGAAAGATAATACATGTTAGGATAGTGAAAATTTACTAACTTGGTTTATAGAGAAAGATGGAAAGAAAAAGAAAGAAAGAAAGAAAAAAAGAAAATGAGAAAGAGACAAAGAGAATTATCGACAAATAAACATATAAAGTATGATTAAATATATAAGGTAGGATAAAATAAGATAAACTGATAAACTTACTAACTTTGTTCACGAATTCAGGCCAAAATATTTTTATGTCACACCTACAAATTTTATTTCAAAATTCGAATGTAACAGTGTAATTAACCAGTAAAAGATATTTACAAAACGATGCGCATACAGACAATCAGACAGACAGACAGACAGGCAGGGAAACAGACAGACAGACCTAAAAGCAACTAGATATTTAGACATTCAGAAAAACAGATGAATAGAAACTAACTTACATGATCAACTGTATCAAACATAATCCCGTTACGATGAGAAAAGGAAACATTATAACAAATGAGATACACTGATTAAAAAAATTCAGAATTTTTTCAAAAATTATTCGAGTTCCTAATTTAAAATAAACTTGCCAAATTGAAACGAGCTTGAGCTAACAGAAACAAAGTAAGCATAGTCGTCAATTTAATTACAGTTATTCATTTATTTATAACCGACTTGACAGTTCCTACTTTAATACTTTGGACGAATGTCTAATTTTTAACAAACTATTTAACATATGTGAACTTTATTTTAAAAATATTCACAACTACCACTACTAACACTCTATTTTATTTTATCAAAGCATTGAAAATAAATTAAATTACTCTAAAAAAGAATTTGTTGTGAAAGTTTCTAAGATTTTATCAAAGCATTGAAAATAAATTAATTTACTCTAAAAAAGAATTTGTTGTGAAAGTTTCTAAGATTTCAAATGAAATCTGCTAATGTTTTTTTATCATATTTCAAATCGTCAGCTATATATAAATCAAGGAGACAATATAACACGCAAATCAATATAAAAAATGTTAATAAATACGGAGATACAATTAGATAATGATATATATATATATATATATATATATCTTCAGATATAATATCATCTAAACATAATGTACATAATACATAGATGGTTATTTCATCTAAATAAACAAACATATCACTCTCTCTCTCTCTCTCTCTCTCTCTCTCTTTATCTATAAATAAATACACACAGAAAAACGCACACACACACATACCACGCACACACACACACAAAAACACACACACACATATATATAAATTTAATATAAATACATTAATTACGTTTCTGTAGATATAAATAAATAAGCTAAACAAGAAGATACAACATATCCGTCGTAAAAAATCAGCCAATAGAAGGGGCGCTTTCCACGATATCCTGATCGTCTACGGGAATCCTTACCCTATCATCCCTATACTCCAGGGACACTGGATATCCAACTGGGACTACCTCGATCTAGATTTATTTAGGTCAAGTTAGGAAGCATAACGTGTCAAGTTATATGCGAATAAATTGATTGGTTAGTTGATTGGTGGGCAATGAACTAACTGATTATGATTAGTGGTTTGTGGAGTAATTGAATGGTTATTGGATGTTTATTTTTTGTTGTGCCGTATTGTATTTGATGTAAGAAAATTTATAGTGTTTTTTGTGTGTTATGATTGTTTAAATGCCTTTTGTATGTTTCAGTTTTAAGAGTAAATCACCCGAAACTAAAAAAAAACAAACTGAGTGTCTACAACTTCTAGTATACCTATATATATTAAATATTTGAAGGACAATGTTACTGTCATCAGATGATATAGTACCGAAAACCCATTCATTTGTATGGCGTACTTATAATTATTAGTTTATCATTTAGAGGTTGTCATTAAGTAGATTAGAGATGAGTTAATTAATCGTTGAATGAAATGTTTGATTTCACTAAGAGATAATACCATAACAAATTTATTTAGATGAAGCGTGTTTGTACTCTTGTGCTTGTTTGTGTTTGTTTATGTGCGTGTGAGTGTGTTTGTTTGTGTATGTGTGTTTGTTTGGGTATGTGTTAGGGTATTTGTGTTATTTGACGAAACTGAGATTTATTTGACAAAAAAAATGAGCATGGATGGAATTGTTTATTTCTTACTTACGATAATATCCGGATAGACGGATTTGACAGCTGCTGCTGCATCCCCACTTTTCTGTGTGTGTGTGTGTGTGTATGTCTGTGTGTGTGTGTGTGTGTGTGTGTGTGTAAATGTAAATACAATGTTACATTGATTGAGAACTTTTTGCCTTTACTATCTTTCAAGAACGTTTTACGTTATAATGAACGACTAAAAAATTAAAAATTAATAACAACACATTTTATTTATATTAATAACAATAAATTAATAATGACAATGTGTGTGTGTGTGTATGTGTGTGTATGTGTGTTTGTTGATAATTTCATAAAAAAAAATAAAACAAATTTACCATTCCAACCAATTCAGGCCAAACACGTTTCTCCGCAGTGTCCTCGGGTCTGGTTAGAAAAAATACGTATGTTTGTTCTTTATCACTTCATATAAAACTTTTGTTTCATGAAATAAAAAAATTCATTCATTAATTCGATTATTCCTTCATTAATTCATCCATTTGTCCATTTATCAATTACTCCATTCATCCATCCATCCATCCATCCATCCATCCATCCATCCATCCATCCATCCATCCATTCATTCATTCAAAAATAAATTACTTGAAATCTAAAACCAGAACTCACATCACTGATTTCAGCAGTATAAAAGCCGACAATGTTAACAACAGAAATTTTCCCATTTTACTTCGAAACTTTTTGTACGAAAAAGATTTAATAACTTAGAAGAAAAAAACAAACTTAAAACCAAAATTTGCACTTTTAAATATTTTATCAAGTAAGTTCGACCAGCAGGTACTAGAATGTAACTCTGAAATGAAGAAATGGAATTAAAACTAACGCATAAAGGATGAGTTGTTGTTATAAGAGAGGCCCGTAATTCAATACACATCTGCCACTATCCAAGCACACACCCGTAACAAACTTAATTAATTTCATTCATTCTTTCTAACGCTCTTCCATCCATCCCTTCATTCATCCACTTTTCCATATGCAGATAGTTGCTAAAATTAATTACTCACACACACCACACACGCACACGCACGCACACCAAACAATCACAATGTTTTACACAAACGCACTACATAAACACTACACAGCCACACACACATATACATACACACACTCACACACACAACCACACACATAGACTACACAAACACATACACAAACACATTCACAACCGCACACGCACAAACACACACACGCACACACACATACATTTTTACTTAATTTTATATTCATCGTAAACAGCAAATAGATGATAATGAAACCAAAAAACACCTATTTGGTGATCTTTAACATTGCCATCATTAAAATTAACGTTTAGTTATATTATATATATATAATTTGTTATATGTATATACACGTACGTGTGTGTGCGTGCGTGCGAGTGTGTGTGTGTGTGTGTAAAGGTCCATGTAATTAAATATAAGGTTGTGAACTTTAACCCCACATTGAAATCCCAGTATTTTTCCTAAATGAATAATATATATGTGTGTGTGTGTGTCTGTGTGTTTGTGTCTGCTATGTTTGCTAATTAAATATTTGGAGTCAATCGGAGTCAATATAGATGTATAGGCTCTAATGTGCTTCTACATGCTTATTGTGTGTGTGTTTATGTCTGTGTACGTATGTGAGGGAGTGTATGTATATGGTGCGGTTTGCCACGGGTGCGGATTCAAGAGTGCTTTTAAACAATCTCCCGAAAAATTAAATTTTCACTTTTTAAAAAATTTTCAGATTAAGAAATTTTGTTTTTACGTTTGTTTGCATATGTATGTACGTGTGTGAGAATGTACGTGTGTGTTTAATGGCCATACCTGAGTCTCTCTGGGGTCTACGTTGGGAAAACCAAGCGAGCAGCTCCTACTAATTACTTCAGTAGATTTGAATAAATAAATTTAGTTGGCTAACTTACGAAACTGCATGCGTTTTTACGAACAACTAATACAAAAAATTTACTTGACAAAAATAAATTTTAAAAACAATATAATTAAATCTAATTATTTAGTTTAGAATTATCGTTGTCAATTTCAATTAAAAATATAGCTTTATGTTTAGAAAACAGAGTGGCTTACTGAAATTGCATGGGTTTCAACAAACGACTAATACGAATATAAATTTGACTCAATATGTTTAAAAAATTGTACTTGAATCGAGTTATGTTATTTGAAACTATTTTTGTCAATTTAAATGAAAATATTGCTCTTTGTTTCGTAAAAACGGTACCTAACTTACTCTTAACAAGGCTATAGGTTAGCTTACTTGCTTCATTAAAATCTCGAAATTGTTGGTAGGTATGTTTGGTTGAATGATTGTTGGCGCTCCAGCAAACCTCGCAAATATTTTTTTAAATTAATTAATTAATTAATCTTTTTTATTTATTTATAAAAATAGTTTATCTATGAGAATATTACACTAAATAATTTTCCACCGCGTGTCTATGCTCACATCACCATGGTGACAACTTTTGTTTTGTTACCATGGCAACAGTAGAAATTCGCAATGAGAATGATTCAAATGAAGCAAATGGTGGAAATAAAGTTGTGAAAGAGGGGGATAATGTTGATGACAGTAATTTAGTTGAGGATACAAATGTGGAAAATTTGGAAAATGAGAAAAAAGTTGAGGAAAAGTGTCCTCTCACGTCGCCTTCTTATTCATTCGCTAATTATATGCTGGATTTGGGTGAAAGTTTTGTAGCCAGGAATGTCATAGTTAGGTTAGTTTGGTTGACTTTTTGGATGCTGTTGAAATTCTTAATCAAGTAACTCTTACTGTTTTCTAAGTGTATATTGGAATTTTGTAAGACTTCTAATTTTATTAATACTATCTAATCTATCTACATTGTTAATTAGTTAGAATTACAATGTCACTCTATTCAAACAGACTTAGACAGACAGACAGCGTTTCAACTTTTTTTAAAATGAAATGTTCATTATAACACATCATCTTCAGCAAAATAATTTTCATAATATCATAATACTTAAAAACGCGTTTGCACGTAACTCATAGAAAAGTAAATTGTCTTACATTTTAAATTTCCACCGTGATATTGTAGGTACGATGGTGACATGCTGAATGGACTTTATCATGGTTTTGGTAGAGCAGAAATTGTCCATGGACATTGCTACACTGTCAGTAATGTTTAAAAATATTTATTTTGTTATTATTTTGTTGTTGTTTTATTCTATTTTATTGTTATTTCATCACAATTCGTAATTTTAAATGACATACTCTTTCACGATTCTTAATTTTAATACAGTTCATTCTGTACCCTTTCCCCTTAGTTAGAGATTCAATATTTGAACGTTTTAAGAACAAAATTTTGATTTTTTGCGATAATTAAAACAATTAAACGTAATAATCAATTAATTAATCAATCAATTAATCAATCAATTAATCAATCAATCAACCAATTAACTAATATTTAAAACATAACCATCTAAACCGAAAGGGCGAATTAAGAGCAGGTTTCATGCATGGGAAGGGTACGTATGTTTGGTCTGATGGCCTTAAATACGAGGTATGTATGTATGTATGTATGTATGTATGTATGTATGTATGTATGTATGTATGTATGTATGTATGTATGTATGTATGTATGTATGTATGTATGTATGTATGTATGTATGTATATATGTATGTATTTATTTATATATTTATGCATGTGTGTGTTTGTACGTGTGTGTATATATGTAACATTTGGGTTTTCTTTGTTTTACAGGGGGATTTTTTTTGTAATCAAATGACAGGCATTGGAAAATTCACCTGGCTGAATGGAAGGTTATAGTGTGAAGAGTAATTTTTTATAAAAAGTATATAATTATTTCAAAATTATTCCAGAATTATTATTATTATTTATGTTTTTTACCAAAAGTTATTATGCAGGCGATGTTAGGAACAGTGTCAGGCATGGTCGTGGAGTTTTTTACCATGCTCCACGCATGCTGAAATATGACGGTGATTGGGTTAGAGGTCTCCAACATGGGAAGGTAACATTCATTCATCCTTTTGCTCATTCCTCCGTTTACTCACTTACTCATTCATTGGTTCATTCATTCATTCATTGGTTCATTCATTGGTTCATTTATTTGTTTGTTCGTTCGTTCATTTGCTCATTTGTTCGTTTCTCCGTTCGTTCATCTGTTCGTTCATTCATCACTGCCAAATCCATAAAACGTGTAAAAATTTTTTTCCAAGGGATACATGACCTTTGACATTGATGAAAAGTCATACTACAAAGGCGATTGGGTGGCCAATAAGAAACAAGGCTACGGCGTTCGGAAGTATATTTCGGGGAATTTTTACGAGGGTGAATTTTTGTACTTTGTAATTTTATTACCACCCTTACTAATTAATTAATTAATTAGGCCATTAGTTAAGTCGATAATCAATTAGTTAATTAGGTCATCAACAATTGTCATCAATAATAAGTATTATTATATGGTATGGTATTATTATAGGGGAATGGTTTGAGAACATGCGTCATGGAAATGGAACAATGCATTGGGTGATGGAGAAGCAGAAATACATTGGACAATGGCGATGTGGCGTCCAAGTTTGTATTTCGCATTGTATTTCGGTATGTGTATACGTTATCAAGTTTGTATTTTGCATTGTATTTTGCTCGCGTGAGTGTGTGTGTGTACTTTGTATGTTCATACGTTTGTAGGTATTTTATAGTGTAGATTTTATTTGCTTGTTTTATGTATCGTGTATTTGTATGGGACTTTTCTACGTATTGTATGTATGTATGTATGTATGTATGTATGTATGTATGTATGTATGTATGTATGTATGTATGTATGTATGTATGTATGTATGTATGTATGTATGTATGTATGTATGTATGTATGTATGTATGTATGTATGTATGTATGTATGTATGTATGTATGTATGGTACGTACGTATGTATGTATTTATAGTTATTATTATTATTTCACATAGGAAGGCGAAGGCGAGCATACATGGTACATTAAAAGATCACCAACGACCCATTATTACCTGAGAAATTCATATAAAGGTAGAAAGAACAAATGAAATGAATTATGCAATAATAATAAACCTACTACTAATGGAATAATAAATAATAAATTATAATAATGTTACGTTTAAATAAGATTATTGTGCATTATGTTAATTTTGTCATGAATTATAAATTTACTTAAAAATCGTGTTAGAATGAACAATTTGTGAACGCTGGCCTGCGACACAAGAATTTTTTTTTAGCTTTGGTCTCCTAATCATTACCTTATTATTATTAATTTGGATTGATTGAATAAAATTTGATTTGATTTGATTTATTTTAGGCTCATTTAAGAACGGTTTGAGAGACGGTTGTGGGTGCTTCCGGTACGCCTGTGGTGCCTTCTACAGTGGCCTCTGGAGGGATAATAAGAAAAATGGAAATGTTAGGCTACTACTACGACAACGATGATGACGATGATGGTGTAGATGATGATGACGACGAAGGTGATGACGACGATGAGAATGATGATGAGAAGACAAGAGTTCGAATTACAGAATAAAAAAAAACTTATAGGGAAAGCTCGTCTTCAAAAATGGCCGAATATATGAGGGCGAGTTTCTCAATGACCGTATCGTTGAATACCCGGAAGTAGATTTAGACGATAACTTCCGGTCTAATGATAATGATGATGATGATGGCGGTGGTGGTGATGGCGATAATAAAAGAAGTAAGGTTGACATCAGGACGAGAACGCCTCTGCCATCTGGTGAGAGCCCTTTTTTAAAAATTTATTACAATGCAGTAGTGTAATTATAACCATGGTCAGGAATAAGATACAAAAAACAATAATAATAACAATAATAGTAATAATAACAATAATAAAAATGTAAAAAATTTGTAGAACCAAGAGAGAATAGCAACATGATAACGGTGAAAGAGTCGATGCTGGGGTTTAAGTTGGGTATCGCGAGAGTTTTAGACGAGTTTACAGATGATAGAGACAGATGTAATGAACATTTGCAAGTTGGTTGGTTGGCTGTTGGTTGGTTGCTTGGTTGACTGGTTGGCTGGTTAGTTAGTTGATTAGTTGGTTGGTTTGTTAGTTTGTTGATTGGTTGGCTGGTTGGTTGGTTATTTTGAATGCATGCGAGCGTGTTTGTATGTGATTGTGTGTACATACATACATACATACATACATACATACATACATACATACATACATACATACATACATACATACATACATACATACATACATACATACATACATACATACATACATACATACATACATACATACATACATACATACATACATACATACATACATACATACATACACATACATACATACATACATACATACAACCAGATATTAAATGCGGTACTGAGGTACAATACCTACACTAAGAAGATATACTCGTTCTACAGCCGTCTGGGCTATTCTGAAAATGAAAATATCGACAACGTATACGCACTCACTCAGATGCAGATGTGGAGGTTATGATAACGATGGTGGGGTCGGGTGGGAGTAATGATGATGATGATGGCTATGATGATGATGATTATAACGTGATGACGATGATGATCGTTTATTTTGATTTGTTTTCTTTTTTTTATTTTAGATTTATGAAAGATTGCAAATTTCAAGAAATACAACGATTGGAGTTGCCCGATTATGATGCCATGGCCAGTTAGTGTCATGGATGGATAAATAATTCATTCGTTCACTCATTAATGAATGAATTGATAAATAAATTGATGAATTCATTCATTAATTAATTCATTCACTCGCTCAAGCATCCGGAAATGACATTACGTTCCACCCAATGAGAGCCATTCATTACGACGAATTCCTCAGCTCCATTATAACCATCTCTTATAAATTATTTCGTCAAGAAACCAAGTAAAAGTTAAAAAGAATGAATGAATAAATGATTGGATAAATAAATAAATAAATGAACGAATGAAAGAACGAACTTACGAGTGAACGAACGAGTGACTGAATGAACGAATGATTGAACAAACAAGTAAATGAACGAATGAAGGAATAAACAAATAAATAACATCCGTAATAACTAAACTTCACAAATTATCAATATTTAAAAATGAAAAATTTCCATGGCATTGGAAGGTGCGCTCCTCCTTACGTGTCGACATGTTACGATAGAATGATGAAGGAATACGTATTAAAGCATGCTTGTAAGGTCAATGGTCGGTTTGTATTTTTTTTCAATTTTTTTTATAACATTTGTCAAGTTTTAATCAAATACATTGTTTTACCTATTCGCATATTTAATCACTTCTTCGTTCGTTCGTTCGTTCGTTCGTACGTTCGTTTGTTCATCCATTTATCCATTTAATTATCACTTTTTCAATCTTTCCTTCTTAGGATATTTCTACCACACAGCTGAGAAAGCACGCGAGGTAATGCAGCAGTTACAAGATCAATGGCTCCGTTATCATAACTTATGTAAGGCGCTAAACTTCAATGTGAGTGTTGGATTGCTGACGATGACGATATTGTTGATGATAATGATGTTGTGATGATGATGATAATGATGATGTTGTGATGATGATGATGTTGTGATGGTGATGATAATGATGATGTTGTGATGATGATGTTGTGATGATGATGATAATGATGATGTTGTGATGATGATGATGTTGTGATGGTGATGTTGTGATGGTGATGATAATGATGATGTTGTGATGATGATGATGATGTTGTGATGATGATGATAATGATGATGTTGTGATGATGATGATGTTGTGATGGTGATGATAATGATGATGTTGTGATGGTGATGATGGTGATGATGTGATGATGATAATGATGATGATGATGAAATGAATCATCTTAACAGAAGAAGAGAAGGAAGAAGTTGAAGACAATAACAATGAGGCAATTTCTCTGGCTGTTGGATGTACGAAGTTTATGAATTAACTTTCAATCATAACTATCATTCACCGACATCATCATCAACGACATCGTTATCATCATCGTCGTCGTCGTCATCATCATCATTCACCGACATCATCATCATCTTCATCATCAATATCGTTGTCATCGTTATCAGGATTTGAATTTGATTGACGACACGCTGATGGCCTCCGATGTGATTGATGTTTTAGCATCTGACGATAGGAAGGTTAAATATCACGTCACCTGCATTTACATGGAGTTCGAGGTTCATTCATCTATTTTCTTTGATTTTTCAATCAATCATCCTAACACTCATTCATTCGTTCGTTCGTTCGTTCTTTCTTTCGTTCGTTCTTTCGTTCGTTCGTACGTTTGTTCGTTCTTTCTTTCGTTCGTAACTCGTTCGTTCGCACTTAATAATATTTAAAAATAATTAAATTTCAAAAATATTAAAGTTGAATTTCAAAATGATTTGATTGAAAAGTTAGGGTTTTATGACTATATGGAGGCCTTGGTAGGCTGCTCTCTAGTGAGGAGGTACCCACTCTGTTATTGCGGCTTCGATTCCAGGACATTCATGTTCATTGATGAGGTTGTTTCTGGTTTCATTTCTTGTTATGTTATTTTGCGTTTATGCTGTGCTGTTTTATTGCTAAAGTATTATTTAGTTATTATGACAACAACAAATATATGTTGTGTTGTTAGTAGCTCAGTGGCTAGCGCGTCTGGTTCTACGTGTCGCATTGACCTCGTTTGAAAGCGAAGACATCCTAGTCTATTACATGCTACGCTAAAACTGCATATGAGTTGGATTTGGTGTTTTGTTGTTTGAAATTCAATAAAGCCCTTTCGAATAGTAAGAAATAAGCGCTATATTATTAGTAATTATCCAGATGGGCGGAGTGATTGATTTTAGAAAATAATAAATAAGTAGAATTTCGGAGTTGATCCTGCTGCAAACGATGAGGAAGAGGAAGAAGATGATGATGCTAAAGGTGGCGACGGCGACGAAGGTGGCGACGATGTTGCTGCTGCTGCTGCTGCTACCGGATCGCGTGACGGAGAGAATGAAAATAAACATAATCACAAAGACATGAAAATGGTGATGTTATTATTATTGTTTGTAATATTATTATTATTATTATTGTTATTATTTACATGCTTTTTTTAGACCGAAACAAAAAACGAATTAGCCGGTGCTTCACATAAGAAGGATGGAAAGAAGGGAGAAGAAGGAATGAAAGACGATGCTGATAGTGATGGCGATGTCAATACTGCTGATAATGATGATGATGGTTAGTAGAAAACATGATGATGATGATGATGTTGTTATTGATGATGATGATGTTGTTATTGATGATGATGATGACAATGATCATTTGTTCTTGCAATTTTTTGGTCTTAAAATCAGAAAACAGTAAAAAATGTAGCTCCCAGCAGAAATCAAACCGAAACGCAGACAATGTTGTCAAAAGTTAGTCGACTATTTTTATATCTCTACTATATTTCAAAAAAACAGTTAATGATAATAACATTGCCAGTCGTTTAACCCATGCATCCGTATTGCGTACAGGCAATAAAATTTTAATTATAAAGAATAAAAAAATGTATTTTTATAACATAATGTTTATTAAAAATCTGCTTTTCCTCTAGATAGCTTATCCCATATAGCCCACATCGGCAATTTTGAGGCCACGTTCTCAAACAAATTTCAAAAATTTGTCGTTCAAGATTACAGTACTGCACTGGATTTATTCTTGAAAGAGAAATTGCCAAAATGTGGAGATGATGGTGGCGACGATTTCGTTGACGAATGTGACAAAAATTTGATTCCATTTTGGGAGATAAGTTTGGTCTAGATGAAAAAAATTAATAGCTACTTGGCGTTGTCTTTTTTTTATACCTTTCAAACAAGCAGTTGAGATAGAAAGATAATTGCAATGAATTTATTAATATAATGAACATTTGCAAGTTGGTTGGTTGGCTAAGTAAGGTACAACTTAAGATTAGAAAATATCGAAGTCGGCATAACGCACGCGTTCTGGTGTAAGCAAATTTAAACAAGTTGAACAATTTTTCTTTTTTTTATCTTGAAAACTCTAACTCCGTCAAACGCAAAGAAAGTAACAACATACAAGGTTCGTAACGATGAAAATAAAATTATGAATGTAAAATTTTTATTGTACGTTTCTGAAAAAAAAAACAATTCAGATCGCGTTTTTCTCGACAAGTTTTATGCTTAGGTAAGCCTTCATTAACAATAACAAATCGTAATCAGAAATCGTATAAATAGAAGAAAAAATAGAAGAAAAAATAATACTTAACTTTACTTGTTTTATGCGATACGTCGAAGAATTTGTTAATATAAATCGACAATGATTATGTCCAAAACTGCAAACGAAAATACAAATTAAATGTTATGTTATGTGTTTCACGTGATTAACAGGCTAAATCATTTTGTAGTAAAGTTTTTCAGTCGAGACCGTCGGTTTATTACGGTCATGACTGTTTTCAGAATTAACAATTTCGACATACTTTGTAATTATTCAATCGTCATGAGCATTGCAAATAATTCTAAGCATTTTAAGCTGAACAAAAAATCAACGTTTGTATTGGAGAAAAAAATCAGTTTTTCTTACAAATTTTAAAAACAAGACATTTATGTTTAGACTAAAGAGATGGCAGGTCTGCTAGCTATCAAAGCTTCAGTTTCCTTATCGACGGAGCATGCCAGTGTACCGAACATTGTGGCAACATTACCATTGAAGGTTCCCTCCGTTGATACAGACCCAGAGAAACTAACGTTAAATTCACACAAAAATGGTCTGCAGTTGTCTATGGGTATTACTTCTGTGACTACTGCCTCTGGGAGAGTTACTATTGATCTGGTGTTTAGATGGTTTAGCTGGGTTTCAGATTTTTCTTTGAAATTGTTTAAAGTGGTGATGCAGTCTTTAACGTATGTAGTATAATCATTATGCTCTTTTGTGTAGTTGTTGAATTTATCATTTATATCGTCAATCAAGGTACCTGTGTATTTTCTGAGTAAAATTTTTATTTCACTTTCTTTTTCGATTATCGCTTTGATTTCTTTCTCCACATTAGCTTTCAAGTCATTAAAATGGGCCTCATTTTTCGCCAGCACCTCATGCAAGATCTTCACTCTTCCAGTCGTAGCAGTTATCTTTTCTGAAAATTTTGAATAAAAATTTTCAAACTGTTTGGAAATACTATCAAGGATATGATTATTGTGAAGGTCTAGCAAGCAATGAGGGCACGAGTAGTCCTTACAAGTTACACAGTATATGTTAACCGACGTTTCTTTGTGAACCTTGCAAAGACTAAATTCAAAGGTCTTGTGTAAAAATTCAGGCGTTTTCATACCCATTAACTTGTGACCTTTCGACGATCTCATATTGAGATGATACTTCGAACATAGCTTACAAAAATATTGCTCACACTGGGGGCAGTAGTTAACTGACTCGTTTGCCAGACAAGAATTGCAATTTTTCGAACAGTTTTTCTTAGGTAGTGCTGCTACAGTCTCTTCTGTTGCTTCCTGTTGAGTTTGAGTTTCATGAACTTCGTTGTTGTCTGTTGCTGCTGATTGTTCCATGCTGCTTTTTATAATAATACTGTGTAATAATTTGTATGTAGTTAGTGAAGAGGCAAAAATAATGTATAAAGTTTAATTTGATGAAAATATTATCTTGATCGTTATAAATATTTAATAATAACCATGAGATTGACAAAGTTTTTTCTGTTTATGCAGAAACCAAAAGCTGGAAATAAAGGGCTATTTTAGGAGATGCTAGAGATGGCTGGGTATGTCATGTGTAAGCAGTTGTTTTGAGTGCAATTTTTACAATCTGTTGATTTTGACGTCGAGTTAACTGTAAATAAAAATTACAGGAGTACATTGTAGCATGTCGATCATCTGATGAATTTATTTTAACCAAATTTAAAAGATTTTTATAGTATAGTAATTCAACAATATTCTGTATGAATAGGATATTTTCAAACGTGAATCAAACACGAACTAAACTAGGCAAGGGGTAAAATTAAATACCAGTTATAGGTGTATCAAAATGCGTTCGAATCATGCCTTATTTGATTGAAGTTGATACCGACTATTCAACCAAATATTTAATTTATCCCATCTCTACATCTCACTAATTCTCATCCAGCCAGCAACAACAAACTCCTTCGGCAGAGGAACTTCTCGATGTTTGTTTTGTTTGATCGGTTAAAGTCAGCCTCCGAATTTGGGTTATAAATTTTCTGAATAGTAAAATATTTAAAATTAAAATCGTAAAACGTAAAATTTGAAAAATGTACGAGGCCATTTACAATGTGGCCGTCACCGTCAAACGTTTCAAAATGTTCCCGATATTCGAGGTGGCCCACTACATCCTGACCTGCCTTTCGGTTAGGGAGTACACGATGAATCTTAGCAAAGGTCAAATATCGAAAGGTCAGTTGTGATTGGTCAATAATTTAAGTTCTCATTTTAAAATTTTATATAAATAATTGCATGTGTGGACTTATTTAAATTTTTTAATGGGAAAAGCAGAAGACCTATTAAAATTTAATCTTGTTTAGTTTAGTTAAATTAAAACTAGGTTTTCTCCCTGGCCTTTAACCCTTTTAAAACTTAACTTTAATTAAGTAGGTAAGAAAATGTACTGCATTAGCAATCAATATTTAAAATGATATCAGTGATCGTAAGAAGGTAAGCAATTGATTTTTTAATAATATGTGAATATGTACGATGCATTGCATTGCAAGGTACTTACTTACTGTAAGTAGATAGAGTTGTAAGTGGATAAAAAACAAGTGCACTGAATTGTAGGCAAACAGCCAATTAAAAGTTAATGACCATGAGAAGCAGCCATAAATTAATCATTTCTTGATAGATATGTATATATATAATATTATATACATTGATGATTAATTTATTTATAATTAATTAATTAATCATTAATTTATGATTAATTAATTAATCATTTCTTGAAATATATATATATATATATATATATAATATCATACACATTGATGATTAATTTATAAATGATTTAATAACAATTTCAGATTCTCAGGTTTTGTTTTCGAGGGCCCATCCACTCTGTGACTGGTTCGGTAATCTGCTGATGTGCTTTGCCGGAAGTTTCCTGGGAAATTTTCTGCTTGGAGAACCTCTCATTACTCCGTTACAAAACACCAAAGAGATTGTAATCATCACCGTAGTTTGGTCGGTTTTAATTATTTTTAATATTTATTAAAATTAAATATATAAAATGATTCTGTTATTTTTTTGACATACCATTGAAGGTACCTTATAAACTATTCACCTTTTGATGTTTTCTTCAATTTCATCAACCTTCTGCCGGTTAAGTTTATTCTGAATCTGTTAAAAGAGGTCAGAAGAGTGAACAAAGTGGATCAAGGAATTAATTTTGCCTTGAAAGTCATGCCTGACACCCACATTGTACCCCTTGCGTTTGGAATACTCAAAGGTTTTTATGCTAATTAGAGTTACATTGATGATGTGCAATTAATTAAATCCATAAATGTTAACCAATCATTCAAATAACTTTTCGTTTTTGCTGTTGATTAGAGACATTTTTGAAAAATTAACATATGACCTCAACATTGACAGGTACAGCGACCAATCACATGAAGGTATTTCACAGACTGACATGTGGGGTGTGGCAGCCCTCATCTATTGAACTCCTCAATCCATCAATGTTATCCTCATTTGTCATTTTGTTTCATTGTTATTAACAGTTACCATTATTATTTTAGTTGGTTTCATTGTTTTGTACGATGTAATAATCAAACTCTTTTTTTAATAAAATTAATAGATTAATTGTTCTATCTCACTTCTCAGAGTCACCAAAACAACTTTTCTTGGTGCCTTGCTGCTCTTCCTCCACAGATCTGGCCATCTCTCGTTCATCCCAGAGCCCATCCTCTACCTCTTCATCGTCGTCTTCTTCCTCAACATCAAGTTATTATCCTACTTCAAGGTCGATCCTTTTGTACCCGTGGAAAACCTTCTGGGTTGTTTATTCACCGGGGGAGTATTAGACTCCCTAAAGAGGGCCGTCCAACAAACATCGACCGGCGTGGCGGGTACTCGATTGGGGATAAATATTTCAGAGTCAGCCAGTGGAAATGTTCCTGGAGGTCCTGGGGCGGCTGGCGCCCAAAAAGAGGATGGGGCTGGCGGTAATTCTGCTGGTAGTGCCGGAGTGAAGGCAAAAAAGGATGATTAGAGTTTTTCAGAGGAAATTTTTTTTCTTTTGATGCTTATTTTTTTTCTTTGCCTTCAAGTTTTTGTTTAGCCTGGTTTTTATTTTTCTTTCAAAGTCTGTCATTTTTTGTTTGATTTATTAAGTTTATTAGTTTTTGTTCATTCATTCATTTATTTGTTTGTTTGTTTATTTATTTATTTTCCACTTGTTTGTTGTTTCTTTATTTGACTTGTAAGTTCATGATCTCATTTATCAGTTTCATCACAATTTTTTTCTTTAAAATTGAAAATGAAATTTACATATTCTGTTGTTTAACATTATTTCGTTTCGTTTACTGAAATTGTTTTTTTTTTTAAACAAAATTATCCATTCTAACAAGTGTCTTTAAGAGGAAGAAGAAAGGGTTTTTAAAAATGTTCAAATTTCGTTTAATCCGTTATCTTGTATACTGCATGTAGTGAATTGGATTTGACTTACCTACCTACAATCATATTTTTGGAGTGATTTTAATAAGTAGTATTAGCATGGATTATATATATATTCATGAGTATTAGCGAAAATACTTTTGAGTGTTACCGAATTTGTTTTCACTTCTCTCCTATAATTTTTCTTTCAACATGTTTCTCCTTTCGTGACAAGTTAGTTCTGTTTTTCAATCCAAGATTGTTCGAAATTTTTTGTCGGTTTAATTTTGAAATAAGTTCTGACTGGTTAGCCAAGTACTGACTAATTAATTAATTAACTAGCTAATTTGTCTATTGTTATTATTGTGACTTAATATTGATTATTTTTGATGTAATGATAAGTTAATGATAAGATCACAGACTTCACCAGATTGCAAGAGTTTTATAGAATCCAATCAATCAGTCAATTAGCATTAATCACAACTTAATCACTCTAATCAAATCAATTATATTTCACGATTGTACGTGAAGATTATATGTATGTGTATATATATATATATATATATATATATATATATATATATATATATATATATATATGTTGGTAATAGACCATAATTTTTACAATATTCTATAAATTTATCGAATGT